GTGCAAGGCTGACAGCCAAAGATATATGCTAAAACCCAAAATTAGGCAAAGAAAAAAATCAAAACAAATAAACAAAATGCTTAGGGAACTAATGCATTCACTTACTTTACATTTACTGAAAGAAACTATCCCTTGCCTTTCAGATAGTTGCACATAATGTTGAAAGAGTAACTCCATAATGTCATTTGTGCTTGTACTTCTGAAGAGGTAAATGTGTATGAAATGTATAAGGCAAATGTGCATGAAGTGAATATTGGTCCCTCCAGACAGCAGCTATTAAAGTGGATTATAGTGGTGCAGCAAGAAGGGAATTTGACCAAAAAGAGGAAATAAGTCATTTAGTCTTGGGAAAAGAGGATAAAACAGAAGACAAGGCAAGGCAAAGCAAGGAAAGGAATAAAACTGTTGGTGAATATTTTGGCTTTATACACATGTACAGAAATATATACATAAAAGCTTAAGATCACAATTCACTAAGCATACTGTCCACCCGTCTCAATTCACATGCAAACCGTCACCCTAGGAAGCTTCCACTGTGACACTGGCTACAAGATGTGTGAAGGTGACAGATGGAGCATACCAAGGAGTTGAGAAATAGCATGAGGTTTTTAGATGGGAGGACACCAGCATAAACAAATATCTCTCTTTTCTCCAGCAGATTTTAACCATTGACATGAGTTATTCAGACATGAAGCAAGTAGAAGCTTTGAATACAGGGAACATAATACATGAAGTAAGCTAAGCTACAGAGTCTCTTCTTTCCTCCAGGCCAAGTTTTCAGGGACTGGGAACAGCCCAAATGCTTGCAAGCATCACACTAAAAAGCTAATGGCTACCACCTGGCTGTGCCTGAGCACCCCACGGGAAGCCAAAATTTCAGTGAGGCAAAGGCAGAGAAGGGGGTAAGAGTAAGATTTTGAGTGACCCACTGAAAAGTTGCCTTTGTGTTAGTGAGTGTTGGCCAATGGGGACATCCATGCCCTCAAGCTAAACAGAAAGCAACTTGGCAGCAGGACTTCCAAACTGAAAAAAAAACAAAACAATGTCACCCAGAGGAAAGAGCAGCTCCTGGCACACCAGAAGAAAGGAAAGAGGCTGATCTACACCCGTCTGTTCAATTTTTACAGTCACTGCCATGGGAAATGCTAAAAAAAAGTCAAGGCCCTGAATGCACCGACAGGCTCTGCAACACCTTCCCTTCCCCAGCCCTGGATTTCGCTCCATGTTTTCAAGGTCATCTCCAATATAGTACAGATATACAACTGTGGCTCAGCCCAGGAAAACAGATGAGTTGTGAGGAAGAGCGACGAGAAGCCTCACCAGGACCTCTGTCCCTCTTGTTTGTTCACCAGCTCACCAGCTGCTCTGTCCCTTGCCCTGGGCTCCTGCTCAAGCTGTGCTGCTGGTCATGCAACTTGCTGGCCACGTCCTTGTGTTGCTGACCTGAACTTGCCTTGCTGACCTGACCTCCTGGTTGACCATCTACCTCCCTTACTACTACGGACTTGCAATCACTGAACTGTTGGCTGAACCTGGTTACATGGATGGACGTGCTTGATTCTTCTCAGCCAGGTGAGTCTGTTTCCCCATTCACGAGACCACTGCCCTTCTTGCCTTGCTGTCCTCTCAGCTCCTGTCTCAGTTTCTGTTGTGAAGCAGCCCACTCCTGATGCTCTCTGATGCTCTCTGACAAAAGCAACAATAAAAGGATAAGCCAGTAACTTCAACAGGGAACAATCCATCCTGAGATCCACGAAGAACTGTTTGAGTGGGTAGCAACTGTGTTACTACCCAGCACTCTCCTTCTGTGCTTGCCTCTGGAGGTCCTCTCCTTCTTCTTCAGCTGTATTTGCGGCAAGACCACCTCCAAGTTCTGAAAGCTTAATAAGCAACTGTTTCACATAATCTTTTTTTGCATCAAGCACCAAAATAATATAAGGCAAAAAAGAAGCCTCCTTATGATAATCAAGGAATGACAGGTTCACTTTCAAACAATTAACTCCTTGAACAAGTGTTTCCTGTTTGTAGAGTGCCTCTGAAAGGTCTAAGATCATCAACAGGTGAAATTTAGGCTGTCCAAATTTGAACTATAATGTTTTGGACCTACTAATGGCAGAAGATCACTTGTTAAGCTGTAGTGTGCCTGGAAATTCACAAAAGGAGAGAGGACAGGGAAGAGTTCAAGGTGAGCCATTTGACCAAGAGAAAGGCTGTAGATCAAGGTCATTTGCATTGGTGCCCTCCCACTTTCTTCTCATGAAGACACTTAGATAAAAGGATACCATAACTATCAATCAGTTTATGCTGTTCACTGGATCATCAGATAGGACTATTGACCTCTATGATTTATGTAATAAAATCAGTAAAAGAAAGAAAAAATATGCAAGAAAGATAAAAAAACAGCAGCATGAAAATCCAAGCTGCTGAGTATATTACTTCTCAGGCTATCTTTGTTTGTATATTCACATTGAGTGATATAATATACTTCCCACAATTCGTCACAGATTAAAATTTTACTGGATGACAATGTTCTCAAAAAATATGTGGTCCTGACATTTAGGAACTTCAGAGTAGATATTAAAGCAATACTAAACTTCAAATTACAGGTTCAACTTGCTGAATAGAACTGTTAGACAGAAATACAGATGAATCACACTGATCCTGGATATAATGGAAACAGGTATTTGCATGATGGCGATCACTGATTTCAATAGAAGTACAGGCGTTTATTCTATCTGAGTGCCCAGCCTTGACATATACCAAGATAAAGAAAACACAGTTTCATACCTGGAGCCTTCAAGACCATGGACCAAGGTCTTGGTCCTCAGCTGCAGAGCTGTGGGGATGCATCAGCTGAGAATATCAGCCTATGTCTTTGGTCTGAGTACAATCCAAACTGGATTATACTTCTATATTTCTGGCAAATGACCCCTAATTTCCCGCTATAACCGTTGTGAATGGTTTCTATAGCGCTGCTATATGAGGGCCTTATCCAGAAGCCTTTACTCATGCAGAGATCACAGATCTACTTCTGAGAAGAAGGTGTAAAAACAGACTCAGATGCAGGTCCAACATCAGACATTAAAGGGTATAATTTGTCATTTTTTACATTATTAAGAATATTTGAGCAGAATCTATAATTAAAGCTAAAAGAGATGTCTCCTCCTTTTGCCAGCAGCTGTGTTACATCAATTAAATGGGTAAATAAGATCTTTCCCCAGAGGGGATATCACATGACCCTCTATTGATTAAGACTGCAGTAGAACGTTATTTGCAATCTTATTGCATAATGGAAATCAGGAGGTAGCTGTCATGGTTTCAGAAGACAAATTGCCGCTATCTTAGACAATTCATAGGCCTCTTTCCTTCTTGCTGCTCTTAATTCACAGTTAATGCGTGTCTTACAAGGCTTAGTTTCTCAAATCAGTCTATGGCACTGTGTTCAACTCAAAACTGGGTGTCAGCAGCAGGCTACGTGGCCCTGCATTATGATGGGTATTAAAGTGACCGTTCCATCTATCATTGCTTCAGAGCCATGCATTATTTAATAGGATAACACAACTTCATAAAAAGGATGTGAAATTAAAAATAGACGCCTCCTGCAGCATGCATTATTCCCAGGAAAGACAGGCCTCCCCCACCAGGCACAGCTCCAGAGCTGCTTTCCATACAGAATATTTTTAAGTCTTAGCTCAGTTTTCTGTGCTTGACTTTCACAAGCAAAACATATGGCTGGAACAAGTCCACTACTCTCAAACCTGTGCAGTAACTGCAGTTAGGGATCCGTTTTTACATTGTAATGAACACCTGACCACAACCCAGGAGACACTTCACTCCTCCACCAAGCTGTATATGCATCATTATGCCATTCATGGGAGAACCAGAGGGAAGGACAAAAATCTCCCTTTAAGTGATTGAAACACTCTTTGCCAATTTAAGAAATCTTAAAAAAAATAATTAAAAAAAAAAAGCTAATCTTTCCTCACTTCTAATCAATCTCAGTCACAACAATTAGAAAACAAGTGCAACACTTTTCAAAATACATCACAGCTATATTTAGCATTACCAGAATCTTCTCCACCAAAGTCAAAGAAATGGTCTTTAAGTGGTCTTCAGTGGTTGTGAAGCTGTAGGACACAAGGCAAGATTTTTGAACGGAAGGAACAAGCCTGAATAGCAGTGGGTGGTAGGACAGTAACAGGTTCAGACAGAAGTTCCACGTGTTCCATGTGTAGAAAAAAGCATTCCGCTTACCATCATCTGTTTGCCATTGCACAGGATTAAAAACTAAATGTCTGCTGTCTGATCTGTTCCAACTAAATTGACTGTTTGGAATATGTTCATCTTCCTATCTAATTTAGCAAGTTTAAAAGTGACAGGTTTACTTTTCTGTTATTTATAATACCAGAGCTTAATGAAGTACATGGAAGGAAATGCCAGTAGAACCAATGTCCAAAAGTAATCTCTCACAAAGCGATAACAAAGTATGGAAAAAAACATCACCTTGTAAAAGACATGGAGGAGGTTAAGATTTCAAGGAAATCAAAGATATTTCAGTACCCTTCATTTGGCTACACGTGCACATTAATAGCACTTGATTATTACTAGCATATCTTCCCATTTACGGAAATTATCTGTTTCTGCTACAAATGGATTTGTGTTTAAACCTTATATTTCATTCTCCTGGAAATCTGTGAAATCAGTTTCAACCTAGTCTCGATGAGCATAAATGTTCCATATGGAGTAAATGTGAGCAGTAAAAATATAAGGGTACAAATTCCTAAAGAATTAAAATGTACTCTGGTTGCACAGGATTTCAAAAGAGGTATTTGACACCTTAAATTAGGGTCTGCAATCATTGCTCCTTTTTTTTTCTTTGCTTTACCAGTCATTTCAGATTTCTGAATCTGAAAAACTCTTCTGTTTTGAAGGTAACACAACACAATTACCTCACTTATTTCATTGTGAAAATTTTAAAAAAGATAGAAAATGTTCCTTACCTTAAAAAGTCTTAAAATATTTGCGACCATAATGGACACAGAACTTGCTGCAGCACCTATCACACCTGATATCTTGTCTGGCTTAGCAAAAATAGGTGGGTCACCATTAGCACACTTCACGTCTGAACCATCTTTTTCTATCAGTGCTTGCACAAATGTTAAGGACTGCTCCAATGCGTAAGTGTCCCTGGAACACGTATCAAGGATCCGGACACCTAAGGTGATATTGGTAAGAAGATCAGGGTCCTTATTAATCTGATCAATTGCATACAGCATTGCCTCTAGTCTGTGGATCCCTTTCTCTTTCTTGAGCTCCCCACAAGGCACCCCTCTATCCCCTTTTGCATGGACGGGGAACAGTCCTCCCAAGATGATGTCCCCATCCAGTCGGATGGAGTGGGCATATTCCTGGCCATGAGTTCTTTGCATCAGGGTGAGTATCCAGTAGAACTTGGCTGTTAACAGGAAGAAACAATGGCAGGAAACTAATCGTTTTCCTTCGTATACCATTTTTTCTGAAGACGTTGTTGCTATCCGATATCCAGATTTTCTTCTTGCTAAGGGATGAGGTTGACCATTTGGAGCTGCACCTTCTGGAGGCTACCATCAGTGCCCAGTAAGTAATATAGAACCATGCGGTAGGTAGAAAAAGGATCTCAGCAGAAGTACATAAAATGCGTTTTACAAAAGATGTCCACTGATGTCATGGGTTGATCAGCTTTTGCATGAAGTGGTTTTCAATTGCTCTTAATTGATGGTGAAGTGGAGGGTAGTATGTCTGGTCCTGATGCTAAAAGGAGGTCAAGTAGCTTATGTCCTTGTATTTTTCCCTGCAGCTGAGGTACTTCTGAAAAAAAAATAAAGTGAGAAATACTATTTAGTTCAGCAGTTTCATACCTGTCACACAGTGTATTTACTTTCAAATATGAGTTACATTGCCTAGGTTTCACTTTCAATATTCTGTAAGGGAGTAATTCTTGGCCTTCTGTGAATTTGAACACCTGGCTCCACTGTACTACAAGCCGGAAAATTGATGATACCAGCAGAGCAAAAGCCAAATCAGGGGAACTAAACTTAGCTTGGAGTTCAGATTCCAACCAGTAATTCATATTTACCTCCGCATTGCATGACACCCAGAAACAGATTTGATCCATAAGACATTGTATTTTCTGTTTTGCTGTATCATTCTGTTCCAGCCTACAGACATGCAATAACTACCTACATTCACACTCTAGGAGAGATTCCATTTATGACAATGGACTAATCAGGGCTCCTGAATTTAAGTATGCTCTTCAAGCACTGCAGTACAAGCACATTCCATTCATTTGGATAGTAAACATTATTTTTCCAGTGGAATTCACTTTTTTCTGGGCTTACTATATATCTAAAATGCCTTACAGAAAATTTCTAACACCAGATTACTTTTATGAAAAGGTAGCTGATTTCTTAAGCAAAAAGAGCACAGTGTATTCTATTAGGAAACTTGCTGAACACCTAGTATTCCCTTTCCAAAATTTCACTTGAGATGAGGTCCAACATTAACAAGATCTCTATTCTTTGCTTGCATTTGGACCACATTCAATAGGAACAATGTTGTGCCCTCACTGACATCTGGAGAAGTCCCACTGATTTTAATGAGATCAGGATTTCAGCCTACATATCTGAACACCTCACTTATAAATATTTCCAAATTGCCCCCACTTTAATTCTCAAGTAAGTAGCATTTATTTATTTCAATATTTAACAAAATTACACATGCTTGAATAAATTTTTAGACCTCCAAGAAGAGAGAGAGAACTAGTTTTACCTAGTACGAAATAGGCGCACTGTGGGCAACTGCATCTGAGCCAGTCCCTCAAGGCATCTGTTATAGGCCATGGAGAGCAGCGGACATCCTAGCATGCAATTCACCTGATCCTTTTCTTTAAAAAAGAAATTGATCACATTGAACAAATGCCTGCCTCACTGCCTATACAGAAAATGAAGGCAACAGGCTCATCTGTAGATACGTACTTTGTCCCTAGTGATCTGACTGGTTCCTACTAAAAAATATGATCAAATTAGAAGACAATTATAGACAAAATTAGAAGACAGTTATAGACAACTATACTGTTTTCAAAGGCATTTTGAATTATTTTCCACAATAATTTTATATATAGCGTGGTAACAAAACTCAAAATATGGTTCAATAATAGCTCAAAATTATTATCCTCTTCTTACATTTTTTTTTTTACATGTTTTTCTTCAAATTATAATACTAAGCTCACAAAAGCTGAAGAAGATTTTTTAAATAGTGTCTGTTTGAAGACCTGAGAAAAAGATTCACAATGGACAGTCTTCTTTTGAATCTGAAGGTATCTCACTGTGATTTGGTAACAGAGTAATGACTTGAAAATGAAACATGTTTAATGGGTGTGAAAAAAAAATCACCGCAATTGGGAACAGCAGCACACAAGACCTTCAGCGCCTCTTAACATTTAGTTTTGCTTGAATTTAGCTCAGGGTTGAATCTAAATGAAACAAAGTCTGTGCTGTTTCATGTGATAATCCCATCATTCTCCTTTAGCTCCTTTTGGACACACAGTTTACAAATCTGACCAGGCTTTGGCCCCACGAACTGAATTCGGACTCAGTCACAAATGGAGGAACTTGACTAATGTCACTGTGTGAGTTGATCCAGCCCCATGGGATGTTTTTTATATGTCCCATGCTATAGAGAAAAGATTGTATTCACTATTAGACAGCCACAACTGCCTGCTGTCTTGATTGCCTCCACAAAAAAACACAGTTAAGGGTTAAAAACAGTAAAGAGTAGAAGCTGCAGCTACACCTAAATAGATACAGAGGCAATTTCCTTTCTGGTTCCACAGTGACCAACCAACTCATTAGCCTGTGCATGTATGTACAACCCACACAGGGAGCAATACTCTGAGGCAATGAAAGATAAGACTGCTCTTATTTAACACTGTATGGAGAACAAGAAAGCACCACTGGAAAAGTGAAAATATTCATGAAGGAAAGAAATGCTGCTTTTTCTCTTGCTCCGCCTTAGGTTAATTCCTGACAGCCAAAGAATGCCCAGAAATCAAAGCAAATTTCAGTCTTTGTACAAACAAATAGTGATGAATTCAACTATTGCTACTCAAATTCCAACAACAATGGAGAAGCTGCAGTGAGCCAAATATCCTCCATTCAATACCTTATTTGGAAGGGACTGAAAGTCAAATTAATTTATAATAAGCATTTTTCAACATTACAGTCTACATACGAATTAATTGCCCTGCCTCAGCTTGCATGTTTTCCTGAAAAAGTATGTCTCTTTGCTGCAAGTGTCCACAGCTTTTCTATAAAACAGAAATAAAATTTTAAAATGTTCTTTTTAAAAATTTAAGACCTTTTAGTCTTTTTATGTTACCTAAGAAATAAAAGCTTCTATTACACTGCCTCATTTATTCATGCCACACTGCTTTTCATATATTGATTTGTATTAACTTTTATAGAATGTTGTAAGCCTGTGTTGCTAAGCAGAAAGCATCTAAATGAATTCCACTTTTATCAATGAATTTTAGTGAAAAAGCGTGAGCCCCTGGGCTATAAAGCCTGAATGAACTTTCCTCATGTGCAGAGTTTTCATTCGAAGTAAAAAGTTGTCCTTTTCCAATTGACCGTAAGAGTTTGAACTAATGCAAATATATTCTTGATATACCAGGTTCCCTACTGTAGTAGTTGATGTTCACTAGAAGCATGACTTCAGAGAAGGAATTCACACATTTCCCCAGCACAGTCCAAGCATAAGTGCACCACAAAGCCTCTCTTCCAGTCACCTTGGAATGCATGCTTCTCTCGGGTTTAATTCATTAAAAATATCTGGCATTATCAGAACGTATTTCTATTTTTAAAGTCGGTATTTCAGTACAAACCTCCACTTGTTCTGCTAGAATATATATATTTATTTTTAAACCTAAGGAGGCGGGGTACTGCAAGACAGGGGACATGGAAATTTCTGTAGTGTCTGGTTCTGAAATTACTTCCTTCTTAAAATCATTCAGCTTTATGAGATATTTAGTACTCAGTGTTGAGCACTTTGGTACCATGTTGCCAGAGTCAGAGCATCGGCATGTGCCTGGACCGGTCATATTCCAACCACAGACTCCCCACACTGAGAGGTGGGCTCACTATTGGAGTTCTTTATGTTAATGAGCAGGGCTAAATAAATAACTGAGAGTGACAGATAAATACTTAAATAAACATGGGCAATGTCTTTATTCTGGTAACAAGGCTCCTAAAGAAGCAATCTGCACAGCTGGCACCGAAGTCGTGGCTGAAATCATATAGAAAAATTCAATGTGTTCACCTAGAAATATTGTTTAAAAAAACCTCACAATTACAGTCACAGGAGCAAGGAGTACTCTCCACAGCATAAGCAGGAAAATGTGTTCACTGAACTTTATGGAATATTTTTTAATTGATGTTGTCAGCCAGACACACATGAACCCTTTACTGAGGGAAAAAAAAGCAATTGGGGGGGGTGGGGTGTGACATCTGAGAAAAAGTTTTTAAAATTTTGTATAAGGCCAAAAAATTAACTTGTCATTGCATTTCAAGCACAGTTGACACTTCACTAAAACAAAATAAAACCAATATTCTGTGACCTAGAAAAGGAGGAGTTTTAGGGTGAAACTCCATTTCTACTTTCACAAAACATGAGATTGTCCAGTTAATGCAAAACTGATCTGGTTTCACTGAATGAAAACAAAATCTTCTAAGAACTATTAAGTTCTGAGGAGAAAAAAAGTTGCAAAAATGTGATTATTATTACTTCTGAACTATCAAGTAAGAATTGTCTTGCTAATGTTCATTTTAGCATTCATAAAAGTTGCCTCTTTCTCCTGCACAGCATTCAGCAATGAACAAATAGCTGAATTTCAACACAGAGCAGGTAAAGAGTTCCCACCTGTGTTCAGTAACCCGACACATATAGAAGATTAATGGGTTTTGCTGACAACAGAAGGGAATTTGGAAAACCTTACACCTTGACACCACAACTCCTATCTTGCAGGAGAATTCTTTACTGATGTAAGTAGCCTTATCTACCTCAGCTCTCCTGTAATGATTTGCTGTGCCTCTGCCACAGAGGTAACCTCTGCACAATAATCAGAACTTCAAGGCGAATCACCCTCAGCATCATGCTTACAGGAACTATTTCTTCCTAGTGCACTATGAGAGAAATGTCTCCTCTCCATCTGATCAGCCTCTTTTCAAATACCCCAGAGCACCTGCCTTCACTTTCTACCCTGCAAATATCCATTTTCCAAACAAGCTACCCTGCTAAAGGAGCAGCAGAGGTCCTTCAGCCAGGGTGAGACTAATAGGAGCTTACAATTTTTAAAGAGGAAACAGCATCAAATATTTTCCTCTGCCCTTGCCTGGTCTCACAGCGGAATAAACCCCATAAATATTAACACCTTTAGAGGGGGTTTCACCTCTCGTCTGGCAAGTGATCATCAAGG